TCAGCAGAGACAGGGGATCCTATCAAAGTGGTATCAGAGCATCGATCTGAGGACAATGGCAAGGGGTTATGGATTGGATTCGGTAGGTAGACTAGACATATCAATATTCTATGATGGCGATCCAGATTGGTGGCTAAGGAAAGCAGATGAAATTTTTGGAAGAAATCAATTGTCGGAGTGGGAAAAAATGGAAGCAGCTACGGCATGTTGGTTGGGTGAAGCTCAGGAGTGGTTTTCATGGATTAAAAGCCGTCGGCCGATTCGAACTTGGGCTGAATTGAAGTGTTTGTTGCGGGATCGATTTGGCAAGAAGGAGGTCCCCATGGTGGAAGAAATTACAGTGTTAGAGGTACGGGAAGATCTGAAATCAGAAATTAAGAAGGCCATGTCTGACATAATGGAGAGGCTCGATTCCATGATAGAAAAAAATGCGAAGAGATGCGGCGGGGAAAGGTCCAGCAACGGCAACGCCTGAAACTATACCGGATTTAGATGAAATTGAGGCGATTCCTGAAAGCCATACGCTGGTCAGATCTGAAATTGTATCAGCACCATTACCGACGACTTCGGATGGAGTGTTGGAGGGGAAATTAACCAACTGTGAAACTCTACCCAAGCTGGAAGAAGTTGGCGCATGTGACGGTGGCTCTAACCACCAAGTTAAACTAGGGAAAGCTGAGCTTGCAGGCCCAAAACTCTTCAAACCCGGAATAAGTGATGAAGAAGAGAAGAGGTCAGGACAATTCACGACGAGAATCCGGGTGAGTAAGATGGAAACCACGATGAAGAATCAGGAAGGGACTGGGCTGATTAAGGCTGACTTTAAATTAGAAAAACCTATGGGCTATGATTTGAAGTTGGGCCAAAGAGTAGAAGATCAATACAAATCCGTGAAGCAGGTCCATTGCCCAGATAAGAATGCATTAGCCAAAACGGCCCAAAAGAAGCAGGCCCATTTAAACTCTGGCCCATCTAGATCTAAAATTGATACATATAACCCAAGCCCAAAATTCCACAATCTCCCTGCCCACACACGTAACCCAGCTCACCAGGCACCACATCAAACAAACCCAAACAACACAATCACTTCTAAAATTTCCCCCAAATTGGAGGAAGCATGAGTAATTAGACACCTCACACACAGCCAGGAGGAGACGAACAGGAAGGAAAAGGAGGTCTCCTTCACTTCGGAGCCCATCATTAATTCTGAAATTCCACCAAATATTGAAGAAATTGAAGTGTATACAGAAGATCAGAATTACAGGGAGGAAGGAGAAAATGAGAAAAACGGTGAAGGACGAGTAGGAGAAAAATCAGGCAAGGTGGTCGAGGGCCCATTACCGCCGGAAATCTTTGGTGCTCAACGCACCTTGACTCGGGGAAAATGGCCAGAGGTCCCAAGAGAGGCCAGTTACAGAAAAACCCCAGACACAGTGAAGAAAGGGGATGAGCAGAAGCGTGAAGGGAAGAACTTACCAATAGCTACGCCATCTAAAGCCACTTTCAATTTTGAAGCTCCACCCAAACTTGCGGATATCGGAACTACTAAAGCCTCTGACAACCCTTGTGATGCCAGTAGCCAGGTCGCCCATTTACCGATGTCGCCAGAGGAACTATTGGGGGAAAATTTGGGGAATGGGTTGACACCCATGTCACGTGTTGAGGACAGAAGGCTACAGCCTCATGTTTTGAAACATATTATGGGTTGGGCCCAAGGAGGGGAAGGTCGAGATACATTCATGAGGCAGGCTCGATGGGTGGATCAAGTTAAAAAGCCAACCCAGATAATACATGGTGAAAAGGATTTATTGACAAGAGCCCAATCTTATTTCAGCCCAAATGGACCTAACACTTTCAGATATAACCCACCCTTGTCCAGCCCAACTACGAGCAGCCCAAAATTACAGAAATATTGCTCCTATATTCTCACCCCAGGCATCGTCACCTCCCATCAGGCCCATACGGCCATCCCCATATCCACGGTAATCTCGACTCAACGACAACAGATGGCAGTAAAGGCAAGGCTCCCACTTAAGCGGCTGATCGATGTCATGCTGCAACTGAAGCCAGATAAAGGGTTGAATTACAGCTGCGACAAAAATCACAACTCAGGTTCAGGAGAGGATCAGTTAGAGGTTTCAGAAGAAGAGAATGAGGTGGGTGAATTGTTTGAGCTATCACTCAGTTCTTTGGTAGGATTGACCACATCAAAAACAAGGATATTTAGGGGCTCGATTTTGGGGCAGTCGATAATAGTCTTGATTGATGGTGGTGTTACACCTAACTTCACTTCAACAAAGTGGGCTGGTCAATTGGAGCTGCAGACCACAGAAACTATGGGTTATAAGGTTACTATCACTTCGGTTCATTTTTTGAAAAACCCGCAAAGGGAAGCAACCGGTTATGGAATTTGTATGAATAACATTTTAACGGTAGGTGGACAAGTGGCTGCCCAGGCTAACAACTGCAACAAGCTTACTCCAAAAATGGTTCAGCTATACGAAACTCTGAATTTTGAAGTTGAACCACATTTTCACCTTGAGGACAAGGTGAATTTTGAGGCGGCGGGTAATGATAGGTTCCAATACGGTTCACATTGTTACTGCCACGTCAATTGTTATTCTTTCATGCTTGTTAAGTCCTATTCTAGAGTGTTCCAATTCAGTTAGTTATTAGGGG